GCTTCATCTCATACGTTTATACTTGCTTGTTGGATTTGTTTTGCTTTCGGGCTCCCTTGTTTGATGGCACATATTGAGCACTCAATTAGCGCTAGAGGAATTAAAAAATTGACCTCAAAGGAGTAGACAGTGACTTCCAAGGAAATGTTTTTCTTGTTCCACCAAAACCATAAACAAATGAGTCAGCTCGTATTTAAGTACAATGTTTATAATATCATATACACATAATTAGTTAATACACAAAGATATTTGTTGTATGATTACCTTCATCGAAAGTAATAGCACATGTTATTGAAAATATATTAGTTCTCTTTTATCTCTTATGCACTTGAAAGCGTGATGAAGTAAGTGTAGAATTATTCCCAGATTGATGCACTGTATATATAATTTTTTTTGGAAAAATGTAATAGAAATGTTAAATTATGTGAGGTTATAGCCGATGAAGATGTCTCTCCATCTGTATATGTAATTTCTATCATAAACAAAATTGTGTATTAATGTATATTTTTATGGAGATGTACAACTTTTATAAATATTGTTTATGCATGAGTTACAAATTTATTCATTAATTTTTGTACATGATATCATTTTGAAAATAAAAGCTTTGGTAAAAAATTCTTTTTTTATGTGTATTAAAATGTAAAAATAAAACCCACTAAAAAATTGACTACACAAAAAATAAAAAAATGACAACTAAAAATTGGTCCCTAAACGACGTTGATAATAATTATAATAATAATAACAATTAAAATAATAATAATACGAATAATAATAGTAATACTAATTATAAGATTATTATTACGAATCTTTATATAAATCAATATTTAAAACATTAGCTGTTACCAGTTTCGTAAAAATAAAAACAATGTATAAAAAGAAAAGAACTTTTAATGCCATATTTATTTAATAGAACATGAATTATTTTTCGTATATAATAAAAATATTCTAATTCTAATAAAAATGGTGCTTCATTTTAAAATTAGTATTTTCCATTTTAAAAATATTACTTTCCATTAATAGCTTTGAAAAAATTGTCACATTTGTGTCACAAAAATTATTATCTTTCAATAATAACTATCTAAAACGATAAAAGTTGGTACGATAATATTTATGTGTAATAAGTTAGTTTTAATTAGTATTCCTAATTGATATATTTATGATATAATATTAGTTGTTATTGATGCATCCCTGAGGCCGAATCAAGAAATTGGCTTACATACTAAATATTATATTCTTGGTTAAAAAACACATCTTGTATTCATAAATAATATATGATTTATTAGAACAATATATTGAAAAAATATAACATTTAATGTATATGATTCTATAACATTTAGTTCTACATAATTCTATAGCGTTTAATTACATATGATTCTATATCAATAGTACATTATTCTATGTATGAGAAAATCATACAACATTTTTATTTTCCGCCAAAGTTTTCCTCCCTTATTTAAAATTTAATATGTAACTTTATTTTCTGCCAAAGTTTGGATATGATTTATTTTTCTGTTTCAAATAAATATCTGTTTTTTTACATTGTTTTACAATCGTTTATTTTTTGGTGAAGTCAAGTTGCTAGTGGATCTTTTCAATAGTGCAGAAGTATTTGAAAAACAATGTTAATCTCAAAGATGTTAAAATTTGAGGTGTGTATGAATGCTTTTTATAATTTTTTTCCTTTTAATATAAATAAGTCATGTGCTATGGAATAAACATTACAATGGAGATCATATATTATTTTTTATCCTTTTAACCTTCGTGGTATAAGCATGTATATTAGGGTGAATTCCCTGTTTGTGTAAAAACGGTGCTATTCATTCCTTTATATGCGATTCAGAAATACATTTTCTCTAAAAATGCCAACCAGATTTGGCTACTCCGTTTTGGTGGTGTTTATTTTCCCAAACGGATTAGCCTAATCCGTTTCACTCATTAAATTACGAAACGGATTAGGCTAATCCGTTTCACTATTTTTTTTAACAATTTCTTAATGTGCGGACATCACCTTCATTTGTTGCTTAATTTGTTTTTTTTCTTCAAACCTTTTTTAGTTATTTTAACTACACTTTTATAAACTTTTTTTAAACTTTTTTAACTTTATTTTATAAGAAAAATGGTATTATAAAATTTTTAAATTTTTAGTTTATGAATGAAATCAATTTACTTTTGTTGCTTTTAAATTATTTATAAGAAACTAAATTAATTACAAAATAAAGGAAACATACATAAAGAAGATATAATTTAATAATTTTATGACTAGAGTGCACATAATAATTTATTCATAAAAAGAAGAAGCCAAAACACAAACCATGACAAAGTTATTTGGAAAATCTAATAATCCATAAACTCAGACATAATTGAACTTAATGACACAGCTATTACTCGTTACGATGTCTCCGCGGTCGATAGTCCATATTATTCTGATAGCGGGTTCTCGTACGTCGGCCGGTTCGTGTGGTCTGTCGTGGCGTTGGCCTCAGGATCTTGTACTCTGGAGTAGGCCATTCGGATTCATCTGGTAGCGGCATAATGATGCTAGAGTAAGCGTTGATGTAAGACTGAATTGAAAAAACATTTGGAATCAAATGGTCCACGGTAACACTACAGTAATGACATACTGCGTGGACATGATTGCATGGGAGGTGAAATGTAACCCATTTAGCACAGCTACATGTTCGTGCATTTAAGTTCATCGTAAATGTCTCCCGCTGCGCAATGTAGGACGACCCATCCACCACCACAGAGTATATCCCTGCTTGTGCGTGGTGCTGTACAACACGACAATACAACCTATTTTCTTCATTTTTCCTAATATGTTTCCAAACATTCATAGGAAAATTGTACCCGGACTGCTGCCATACATATCCATAACGTGCCCCACCTTCATCATGTGACAAAGCCCACTTTTGTTTTGGAATGGCATTAAGCCAGTTGTAGGCTTCTTGATTTTTGGATGCTATTTGGAGTAACAACTGGTCAAAATCACTTCTGTTCGGGGCCTCACCAGCTTTGTACATCAAGGTCCGCAGCTTCTTACTTCAGAACTTATTCTAGAAATTGCTGCGTAGGTGGCAGAGACAATATCTTCGAGTCACTTGACCTCCACCTAACTCTGAGACATTTTCAAATGCATGCTCAATCCCGTCGTTGCCATGGCAAGTAATAAACATCCCTTATACTTGCCATTGTTTGTAAATCACTAACAGTTCCATGGTTAGGCACCATGATGAATACTTCAACTGCATCGTATTCACGTGATACTTTTCGTAAAAAATGTCGCCTTGTTGGTTCGTCGTTGATTGGGAGAGGTCGTGAATCAACATAAACCCCTGATTGATGTCTGGGGAATTTACCGTAGACAGATTCCATGCCTTGAAATCTGGCTTGAATAACATCACTACCAATTTGACCAAGAAAGGTGGGAGTGTTAGAAATGAAGAATGGTGAGGGTGTGTTAGAAATGAAGATGTAGGGGTGTATTTATAAGGGGGTAGGAAAATACAGTTAGGTAGGAGCGAGAAAATAAAGTTAGGTGGGAGTGGTTAGTTGAAAGAGGAAATAATTGGTAGTTGGGAGGGGTTAGTTGGAAGGCGAAATAATTGGTTAGGTGGGAGTGAGAAAAAATATTTAATTGAGATGCGAAATAAATGGTTAAGTGGGAGTGGGAAAGGGTAGTTATATTTTATTTAATGATAAAGAAAATTATCAAAGAAAATTATGAACAAAAATATTTTAATGATAAAGAAAAATATTTTATTTTTAAATTTTATAATTTATCTATAAGTAAGAAAAATTATTTGAACAAAAAAGGGAAGGTGATTTAAAATGATAAAGAAATTTAAAAAAAAGTAAACGGATTAGCCAACTTTGTTGGCAAAAAAAAAGGCGCATTAGCCAATCTAGTTGGAAAACTATCCAAAATAAAATAAAAAGTAGTGAAACGGATTTGCCAACTCCGTTTGGCAATTAAATGAAGCAAACAGATTAGGCTACTCCGTTTTATTTAAAATTTCTGAATAGAAACGGAGTAGCTAAATCCCTCTTGCACTGTGAGAAAAAAAATGTGGACTTACACTTCTAGGAATGGAAAATTTATTATTTACATATGTTGGTAAATTACTCTGTATATTAAACATTTTATTCATTAATAGCTTAAAGGCCATCAATTTAATCGGCATCAATTTCTTACATCAATTTAATCGGCATTTTTGTATTTTTTAATGTAGTCAAATTGTTAGTGATTTTTATTTTTTCAATATATTATTTATCAGACAAATGTTATATAATAAAAATGCATTGTTTATCAATTTATAATTTTTTATCTTTTAATATATGCAGTATATATTTTATTTTTTAAGAAATATTTAAATATTGGGGTTACATTATTTTGTTTTTAGAAAAATAGTATTTGAATATCATTTATTCATCTCTTTCAAACAATTTTTATATAATAAAAATGAATTGTTTATCAATTTATAATTTTTTATCTTTTAATATATGCAGTATGTATTTTATTTTTTTAGAAATATTTAAAAATTAGGGTTACATTATTTTGTTTTTAGGAAAATAGTATTTGAATATCATTTATTCATCTCTTTCAAATAATTTTCACCTACATATTTATTTTTGTTTTTAATATGAATTTAATGTTTGTTTATTTTTTTGCAAACTCGAATTGCTATTGATTTTTTTCAAGAGTACAAAAGTATGTAAAAATTAATCTTAAGTTCTAAGATGATAATTTGTTTTGCATTTTTATATAAATAAGGCATGTCTTATTTTAAAAAGGATATTACGGGCCATGTATAACTCATTTGCCTTTACATATTCGTAATATTATCTTTAAGAATGTAAATATTAAACAGTTTTTTATATTTTAACAATAAATAATTTATATAAAGAGTAATTTTCAAATTCTATGTATATTTTTATATAAATACTTTTGATACACGCTTTATTTATATAAAAATATAAATTTGAAAATTACTGTTATTTATTGTTAAAAGATCATCGTCACCGGCGACTCCTAGCGAGTGAGCGTACACGGACCACGATTTCGGTGATAGGAGAGCGCGGATATTCTACCGGCGTGCATCACACCTCCTGGAGGTTCAACCTTCAACCTCAACACTCTCGATTTTCGTAGGTATATTCCTTAATCCAAAGTTTTTAAGGTTTACATGTTTCGATTCGAGTTGTAGAGGTTCAATCGCATGTTTGTTTAGCTTGATTTAGAAATTCCTAATCTGTTGGTAGTCTTCCATAGATCTGCGTCATTTCCAAACTGGTTGACTGTCATTGTTTCGGTTCTTTGCCTTGGGTAATCAAACCTTTGATTTCTTACTAAACTTGAGCTTAAAATGATGCATGAATGCTATAAACCCTGCTGTTTTAGTTTTCTTTGTGACATGAGTGAGCAGGACTCTTAACCTTATTGATTTGGTGATGGCAATAAACCACCGAGTATCTCGACCAGGACCGACCCAAGGGAGGGCCGAGGAGGCCAACCAAACTGGGCCCAATATTTTAAGGGACCCAATTTTTTAATATTATACATATTTATAGTTTTATACATATATATACAAACTCCGTACTATTCTTTTATAAAAATAAATGTCCTAATTGTCTAGAGTAAGGCTTGAACGTGAGCATTATAAGGTGCAAAGAGATACTCCTTCCACTTGTGCTTAGGGGTGGACACGGTACGGTTCCGGTACCGCCACCCCTTGGTACCGGTACCGGTACCGGACCGGCCGGTACCGGTTCCGGTACCGTTTCCGGTACCGTTTCGGCCACCCCTAATTTTGTTTTTTTTTTTTGCTTTTTTATTATATTTTTAAAATGTAAAATTGTAAATGTGTAATTGTTAAAGGAAATGATGAAATAAAAAAATCTAAAAATGAAATTGATAAAGGAAAGAATGAAATAAAAAAAAAAAAATAAAAAAAAACGGTAACGGTACCGGAACCGGAACTGCCGGTGCCGGTACCGAAAAATGGGCACCGGAACCGGTACCGGATTGGGCGGTACCGGTACCGGTTCCCGGAACCGGTGGACCGTACCGGCCGACGGTAACGGTACCGGAACCGGCGGTACCGTTTCCGGTACCGGTATTGTACCGGTACCGTGTCCATCCCTACTTGTGCTACTAAATTTGTTGTTATGCAACTAACGCAATAAGATATATATTTGTCGTATTGATTTTAATAAAACTTCTAATTATTTAGAAAAAGAAACACAAGAACTATCTAATATACTTGTTTAGTAAACTTATAAAAATAGTTTAAAAATATATAAATAAAAATATTTATGTTTTATTTTAAAAAATAATATGAATAGTTATACCTAAAAAATAATTTTTTTTCAAAACAAAAAATAACTAAAAATTTTATCATCAATAGAAATTAAGAAATATTTAGTAATTATGCCTTAATATATTAAAAATATTATTTTCTTCTTCTTTTTTAAATATGACTATTGCCTTACTATTTTAGTTTTATTAGATACTCATTATTTATCTTTGATACTAATAAAAAAATAATACAAATAGCAAATTGAAAAAAATGTGATGACATATGTAAAATGATATTGAAAATTAAACGGAAGAGTGAAAAACATAAATATAATATCTAATAATATAATATAAAATATTATTCTTTTAAATATAGTTAACCGAAACACTAACCCTCGAATTGACGGTTAAATCTTCGGCCACTAACTTGTCCGAGTTGACGTCTGATTCAATTTTCAAGACATTGGTTTGGGAATGTAAGTATAAATAAATCTTTTACTATAATTTTGTACGCGATTTATTTATTTTGTTACATAGTATTATACTATTGTGTTAAATGTTATTTAAATATAAGTAGCTTATACACTTTAATTTGTTAAGGCATTAAGAATAAGATCTTTAGGGCGGAGTACCTATACCTTACATCCAAGTAACTGAATATTCATTTTCGAGTATCAGGGTACTCATTTTTAAGTAACTGAATACTCATTATTGAGCATAATTGAATTTTATAAAAATGAGTATACAGTTACTAAAAAATGAGTATTCATTTGTTCAAGAATGAGTTTCCGTTTCTTGTAAATGAGTAAACTAATCGGTATAGATGTACGGGAAACACCGTACAACTGATTGTACGGTATATATTGCGTTTAGGCCCTTGAGTTCTCAAGGCCAGCCCTAATCTCGACTGTGGGGTTGGTGACGTGCGTAAGCTAGGAAAGTAGAGATAGAGAGAGAGAGTGCAAAGTAGGAGTATTATTCACTTAGAATCAGATCCGTAACAATGAGAAGGCCTCAACCTATTTATAACGTCAACACTACTAAAACTGTAATAACTGTGATTGACACTTGTGTCGTTTAGTCATTGTAACTTCGTCCTTGTCATCTAGCCAATGTCTTTGGCGATTGGAGGCAAGCAAGACATCTAGTCCTCCGTCGATGCATTCACGTGGTGGGGCAGATCCATCCATGTACTGGTTCCTCTAAGGATCGAGCAGAGAAGCCAAGCCCTCGAGGACCGAGTCGAGCTCAGCCAGTCGAGCCGAGCCTAACGAACTGAGCGCACTCTTCTGGGACCCCCTTGAGCTCACTTGAGCTGTGGGGTCTGATCCTGGGCCCAATATCAGGCTAACGTGCTGTCATAAGCCCCCCACTCTCTGGGTTCTCTAACGGTTTGCAGGGGAACACACGAGAGTAGAAGCTCTTGGGGTGACGGGCGCGTAGCCTACACGCGGATGCGTTCCAGATGGATGGCGATGTTTGACATTCCCGAAGCGGCATGTGGCGGTGTTTTGCCTTCCCCGTTACCCATCACTACGTTAGCCCAATTCATTTCTTCGGTCCATCACCTTTAGTATAAATATCCACTCTGCATCCTTTATTTCTCACGAGCATGGTAGTCAAACTCTAGATTCTACGTAGGATCGATAAGCATAATGAAGATTGTAACATCGTAAGATCGTGACTTGGATCGTAAGATCCTACTATATATATATATACACACACACGTTTAATGTTTTAATTAAATTTTATTAAAACATAACACAAGTTCAAGTTGGATCACAAATGACTTAAAATTTTATTCTTAAACATCTAAAACATAATTATCAATGCTAAAATCATAATCCTCAAGTTCTTGATCTTCATCTCCCTCATCCAAATTGGTGACATCCAACTCTTCATGTTCAGGTTGAACATTTGCAGCAGCCTCTTCTTGTCCATTTTGTGTTGGAACATCCTTGGAGTTATTGCCAGCAGCCTCTTCTTCTCCATTTTGTGTTGGAACATCCGTGGAGTTATTGCCAGCAGCAACTTCATCACCTCCTGGGTCTTCACCAACATCTTCCATAATCCACTCATCGTCTGACGAAAGATCTTCTAGTTTGAGCGGATTTGATCTCCTGGCTTTCTTCTTTTTTGCCAATTTTGAATTAGTCATGACAAAAACAACATCGTTCATTGTTTTCTGCTTCAAACAATTTCTTCTCTTTGTATGGACCTAATGAAAATTATCAAGTCATATTTATTTGCACATTGTAGAATGTAATAAAACTTTAGAAATCTTACCATCTCAAATGCACTCCAATTACGCTCGCATCCTGACAAACTGCATGTCAAGCTCAATACTTGAATCACAAATTTTTGAAGGTCTAGATGTTCATCTCCATATGAGTCCCACCAATTTGCTGGACTTAGCTTATCAAATGTCTTTTGAGCCAATGGAGAACCAAATAACTTTTGACGCTTCTTAAAGTCCTGTAGTTGAACATCAATCCTTGACATTTTAATTATTACTTAAATTCGAATTAATATTTTATGATTTTATTCTACAAAGGACTTATGTGATGTACCTTTTCTTGACATTTTGGAAAGCTGCTTGTATCTTTTCTTTTGCTCGGTCCATTGCCTCGTAAAGAAATCCCATGGCAGGTTGCTCATCAGAATCAACCAAACGAAACACCTCAATGAGAGGTAATGCACCCTTTAAGCATATCACTATGCTTTTCCAAAACTCCTTATCCAACACAATCTCCTCCACATCTTTTCCATCCTTTATTTTTGAGTGTTTGTTTGTCTTCCACTCTTCTGAGGTAAACATTCTAATTAAACCACCTTTGTTTTCATAAAGACACCCCAAAGTTAGATAAGCAGTAGCAAATCGGGTCATTCCCGGTCTCGCCAAATCTTTCCCATCTGTGAAGTGGTGTAATAGAGGAATCAGAGAAGGTCTAGAGTAAATATAAGTAGTGATTTTGCGACCATTAGGAATTGTGATTGGAATTTTCTTTTCGAAGTCCTCTAGCATGAGATCAATGCAATGAGCCGCACATGGTTTCCAATATAGCCTTTCGCTTCTCCATGAGTAGAGTACCTGCTTTTACATAATTTGGGGCATTATCTGTCACAATCTGAACAACATTTCCTTCACCCACATCTTCAATCACCTCATCCAACATCTCAAAAATCTTGTCAGATGACTTCACTATTTCAGAAGCATCAAGTGATTTCAAGAAAACAGTCCCCTTTGGACTATGAACTAGAAAATTAATCAATGCTCTTTTTTTTATGTCAGACCAACCATCACTCATTATCGTGCACCTTGTCTTCTTCCATTCGCTTTTATGTTCATTGACAATGCGTTCTGTCGACTCCACTTCTTGTTTTAAATACTTTACTCTGATCTCATGATATGACGGTGGCTTGAATCAGGGTCCATGTTTTGCAATCAAATCACACATGATACGAAACCGTTGAACTTCTCGATTCGAACCCTCCCGTCCTCGGCCATTGCAAAACGAGAGGAAAAAAACCAGAGAAAAAATCAAGGAATAACGACCTGAAACCAAGCAACCTTCAAAAGAAAACAAACCCTAAAACAAAGAACCCGAACCAACGAGTACCAGGTCCAAAACCAGAAACCCTAATCGCCAAGTTCACCTAAAACCGACCAAACAGCCCCTGACCAGATCCGAACCAGCCTCTGATCAGATCCGAACCAGCCCCTGATCAGATCTGAACCAGCCCCTTAACCGACCAAACAGCCCC